AGAAGTTTGCTGACGTTTCAGAAGTTTTTGTTTATTCCATAATCGCCCTGATGATGGAGACAGCGCTACAACCCAAAAGACAGCCATCTTCGTACTCAGCCCCGTGAGAACCTCAAATGCTACTATAAAAAGTAGAAGCTTGGGTTAACGTTTAGTGACATGATGTAAATTTCATATTTAATCAAAATCCGTCCAACAGTTCTCCAGTTCAAACACGTGGACGGATAGACGCACGGACAGACACGTTCATTTTGTGTATACCGTGCAAAAAACGCACAATAACGAGACTCGCGATTCAAGTTCCGTGGTTGTTACGTACTGCGCTGGCGCATTATAGGTGGTTGGCCTTGTGACGTTGTGTCACGTGGATTCCACATTGATCTTATGTACTAGGAGTATTATAGGCGTGCGCTTGAGGTGGTAGCAGAATACTTTTACCTGCTCAATGAGAAGAGTATCTTGTTGTCAGACGCAGGATTAGTGCAGAATGTGTGAGTCGGTGGCTGTGTTATGTTATGGAAGAAGTTGTAGTAGTATTCAAATGGAGAGAAGATTAAAGCGAGTGTTGTGTGAGTGTTGTTTTTTATGGTAAACATGGCGAACTATGCAGGTTGAGGCGAGTGCCCTTAGGCGTGTGAAGACGAAGCTGGCTCGTCTGGGAGATAGATTAAGGAGAGACGAAGAACAGGAGGTTGGAGGAGATTTACAGGTGTTGGATAATGAACAGCAGCCTACCAACCGTGCTGGCGTTCCCAGACATCTACTACGGCACATACTGTACCGAGGTGGCTCTGCATCAACAACAGGTGCTGAAGGTGATGGTGATAGTTGTGATTCCGATACGGAACTTGACAGTAGCAACAAACCTAATCGCCTACCTCATTTGTCACGTAATTCTGACACGGAATATCAACCAGTTTCGGGCGAGGACAATTCAGATGATGAATCTGTTTCTAAGGCAAGAACAGAAGCCTCGTCACCACAGCCTACTCAAAGAGGTCTACGAACATGTGGAATACGTAGACCGCTTCTACCACCGAGAGCGGCAACTTTGGCCGAATGTCAAAGCCCACCGCCTTTGATAGTGGACGAAGGACCAAGTTCTGCACCAGACATTCCGTTACCTGAAGGAAGTATTCTTGAAAAACTGGGACAGAGACTCAAGGAACGCAGTGACAAAGTTCATAGGGTAAACTCTTGTTCCGTATCAGCCACGAGTAACCATTGTCATAGATTTTAAAAGCTTGTAGGTGTATTTTGCAGGTTTTATTTTTTTCCAAGAGCATCTGTATGTACGCCTTTTTCTCGTTTGCTTATTTAGTTCCATTTCCCGTGAAACATTGATCTCTTATCTTCGGTTTTAGAATCATTAGTTTTTACGTTTTGCCGTCTGCGCAAGCGTGATGTTTTTTTGTTTTGTGTTTTTCCCCCGTGAGAGCATAAAGTGCATCATGAATAATCCACATTCAAATCACCGAAAAACAACTCTTCATCAGAATACAGTAATTTTTTTGTCGCAGTGGTTTCAACGTCGTGTCCAGAAATAATTTTATCTGAATGCTAACGAAAGTCACCAGCGTATGTTTATATCGGCCATATTCGCATGTTAAATTACTGATCATTCTCGTGTTTTGTAGTTTGGTTATATTTTATCAATGGCTGTGTGTTTCAACCTTTTATTCATAGTCAGTTCTTCCATACGACATTTTAATTGGTTTAGTTTTCTCCCAATGTAGTGACTGAACAATCACAGTTTGATTGCATTCAGGGGCAGCACTGTGCCCACACTGTCTCTGGGGTCTACCCAGCCTCCTATCAGGTGGGTACCCCAGATCTCCTTCCAGGAAAAGCAGCCAGGGCATTGAGCTGACCATTTACATAACATGGTTAAGAATACATACTAATGCACCTTCTTGCCTGCAAATATCTTCATAAATGGTGCTTATTTAAGCACAAAGAATAACTTCCTTTGTTTTGTGAGGTTTGAAGTTTGGTGACGATGTTGATGTTGTTTTGGGTTTTGGTGCTGCATGGACTGGCCAGTAGATGGAGACAGTGTGCATCTCTAAAACATTGGCATCTTACCAGCCAATCCACATGGCACCAGAACTTGAAAGAACATCAACAAATTATTTTATTGTTGTCACTATATGTCCTTAAATGACAATATTTATCACCATTACATTATTTAGCATGCAGATTCCAGCCTCCTTGGGCTATCTTTTATTTCCTACTAGTAACTGTATGTACACATTAGCCTATAGCTGTGCATTATTTTATGTAATGTTTACGAGCTACTAGTAACTGTATGTACACATTAGCTTATAGCTGTGCATTCTTTTATGTAATGTTTACGAAACATATAAACATTATTTTTCATAATATTTGAAGGAGTAGGAGTTTAACATGTTCACAAAGAAGGAAATGAGACATGTGGCAACACAGCTCAGTGAATGGTATAATCAAAATGGAATGATGGTTAGTTGAGGTTTTTAATTTCGATGGAACAATTTCATGTAATTGTTATTTTAAATTCGTGAATGGTATAATCAAAATGGAATGATAGTAAGTTGAGGTTTTTAATTTTGATGGAACAATTTCTTGTAATTGTTATTTTAAATTACAAAAAGAAAAGAACTTGGTGAATTAAAACAAATGGAACAGAAGAAGAAGTTTATTAGAATTGTGCAAGTGATGTGAAATGAACATAATAATACATTAAATATTTTAAATTTGATAGAATAATTTTGCATAAATAATATTTTAAGTTTTAATATTTGAGAAACCTGGTGAATTAAAATTGCAAAGTAGAATAAATATAATGAAATTCATATGTCAGAATTGTGCAACAAATGTGGAATAATATGATAATGATGCAACTCAATGAAGATTTTCTGCAGTGACATTTGAAATGCGCGTTATTTTGTTTCGGTTATTCCAATGTGTGCGGGTAATTTTTTTATGTTCTTCAAAAACTCTGCAAAGATAGAAATCCAGTGGTGATAGATCTGGGGATCAATGGGAACACAAGTTTTGAGAAATGTGACCACCAAAGAATTTACTCAACATCTGCATTACTGAATTTTCTGTGTGCAATGTAGTCCCATATGACTGAAACCAGTGCATCAACTTTCAAAAGGGAAATTAAATTTATAATAAATTTTTGGTAACATTCAGCTGTTATTGTTTAACTAAAGAAAATGGGACCAGTTATCTTCTGTCAAGAAACAACATACCATACTCTGACTTTAAGGTCTTTGTATGCAGGTTTTCAGCACTCCATTTTTGCTATTAATGCATCCACTTAGGCGGAACCATACTTTATCATTGTAGAAAACTTTATCAGAAATGTCTGTACTCCGTGGAATGAAATGCGTAAACCATCTGCGGTACTGAAGCGGTTTTTCCCCATCAGGTTCCTTGTGTTTGTATGTGACATGTACACAATATGGATGAAGTTTTTAAAGTCTTTGTAGGCTTGTATACAATTCATTATGATAATTCACTGTATAGAGAAAGTTTTCTCAGTAACTTTTGTGGAGAGCGTAACAAAGTTTGACAAATATCATCCAAATAGTTGCCACTTAATACCAAAGTTCTTTCATAATGTTTTTTGTCGTGGACACTTCCTGTGTCACAGAAAAGGTTCACCAGACAAGATATTTTCGATTTGTTTGGCACACGAGAATTGTGAAACATATCCCTAACCTTATTCGGGTGAGTTAAATAGGAACGAGATGCCAGGTGGTGCTGGAAAATGAACACTCATTGCACTCGTTAAAAAAGATATCTTTGCACTTTAAATGTTGAAAGACAACTGACGGACTAGTGCGAGCAGGTTATGTGATGTGTCTTTTGTACACATAATTTTCTGATTACTCTGTATTACCATTTTAAAATTTATATCTTTGTTGATGCAGTATAAACATCCAAGACACGATTTAGTAAGTGTAATGAAATAGCAGAAGGTAACTGGCGGCAAAATGTTTTTAGCATCTGTGAGAAACATTTTGTTTCTGTTGAAGGCACATCAGGTGAACGTGTTGTCTGTTGATGAATACTTTCTTTGGGGATGTTGTGCCATGTAGTATGGTAGAAGTTTACCAGAATTTTAGAGGTACCTGCTGCCTCAGTCATCAGGAAGACTAGGAAGTAGCAGCTTACTCATAACCCTCATTATGGAGGCAGCAAGGAATTCAGAAACATTGGTAAATTTCTACTAGATTTCACGGTGCTACAACCCAGGTGACGGTAATTTTTATACTTGTCACTGTGAGAACCTGTAGTCTCACACGGTATCCATTGTTTTTGTGAATTTGACTCCACTTAAGCTGTTGCTAATATCTGTATTACCAAGTTAATTTTGTGACATAAAATTGTTGGTAAAATAGTTTATTATAGTTTATGAGAAAATTACTGTGTGTGCGCATGCATGCACACGTTTAGGACATTTTCTCAGGCAGTATGTAATGGTATATCAAACCCATTTCGTTTTAATAAAGTAAAATTAAAATCTTTCAGAATGACACTTTAAACACTTATATTTTATGAAAGAAGTTGAAATGTTTCCTCTGACTTTACATGTCGCAATATCTGACGTATGTATGCAAATTAAGTAGTTTTATATCAACTAATTTCTGTGCTCAGAGACGTACTAAATGAGGTTAATGTAGTAATTTTTGTTTTGCAGTATTTCCAACGTAACACAAAATTGTGTGATGTAAACCGGAGACTAAAGAGTCAGATATGGAGTTCGGTCGTCACCATTGTGCTTGTGGAGGGGAAAAATCTTCTTCCTATGGACATTGATGGTTTCAGTGATCCTTATGCCAAATTTAGGTATGCTAACTCCATTGTAACATTTGTTGAATTTTTGGAGGTACCTTACTTTTTCATCTTCAGACATTCTCATATTTGTTCACATATGCATGTGTGTGTGAGTTTACTGTTTAATGAACAGGATTTTTAGGCAGAATGACAAGCATGTAAAATTTTAAAGACTTCTGTTAAAACCTTGCAAAATGTAACAGAGCATGAAATAATGCTGTAGTATGTTAGGCCCTGTCTAGACAGGTTGTTATTAACCAATTTGCATAAACCTAAGTATGCCTCTGATTAGGTTTTGTTATGTATGATTTGAGGTTTTCACAGCGGTGAGTATGAAGATTAATGACTTCTGGGTTGTTGCGACATGTGGTATGATAGATGTTTACCGACGTTTCAGAGGTCACACTGCCTCCGTCATCAGGGCGATGAATATCAACGTTGGTAAACATCTACCACACTACATGGCGCATCAACCCAGAAGATAGAAATCTTCAGGTTTGATTATGTTTCTAGGTGTCAGGCGAGAATAAAAATTTGCGTAAGCTGACACAATTTATGTATGCGTAGCTAATTTACGTTGTCATAATTAGGATCGCAGTTGCATTATGAATGCTAACTTGACCTTTGATCAGAAGATATAGTACATTGTTTTACCAGCAGATTTGACTTTTGAGTCTCAGATACTTGACACTGGAAAGTGTTCCTGTCTTTTAATTATTTGTTAAACTTTTTTGTGAGATGGCAGGTTCTTATAGTCGCAGATGTGATGATTACTCTTGTGGGATGTTTTGCCATATTATCTTGTGGGAGTTGGTAATACTTTCTTTCATCTGTAGTTCTGATTATGGAGGCAGTAAGCACCTCAGAAATGTCAGTTTCTTTGAGAGTACATGGTACATCATCCCAGAAGACATTTTGAAAATGTTGTTCTTTTTTGTGTTTGTGTGTTTATAATCGTTAAGTATTAATTTTAAGATTGTTGTTAAAAGAACTGGAAGTTGCTAATCACAAAAGCAAGAGATAAAATGACAAGTGAACTATTTAAATGAAATATTCGTACTGGTACATTAATATGAATGGTAAACCAAAATGAAAGTCAAGTATTATTTTAGTATATTTTTTACTGCAACTGTCCTCCATATCTGCCAACCATTTTTTTTATATTAATATATTACTAAAGACAGCAAACAGTAATTGGACTTGGTATTGTCATTAGCTCTCTCTACAGTACTTTAAAACATTTAATTTACTTTAGACATGTCCTTTAATTTGGAAATATTTGTGTTTCTTATGGAGCTGAAGTCGGTGTTCTGGCTTGTGATGCCATGTCGACTAGTAGGTACCTATAAGATAACGTGGTGTCACAACCCAGAACATCAACATAACTATGGATACAACGTAAAAATGGTACATTTGACTGATTCGGAGGAAAGATGTTACGGACTTTCTTATATAAATATATTTTATTTTTTAGTTCCTTGGCTCCTTTTTAATAATGTCACATTCTTGCTTCAAATCGCTGTATTTATATATGACAGTAAGATGATTAAAGATGTCGATTCCTTGGAAAGTAAAGTTACATTATGTGCATATCCCACAGCATCATAAGATGGCAAGTTGTTACGTCATAATCTAAAGTCTCTTGGATAATTACACACCTTGAAATTGTTGGAGGTTGCTGAAGATCCTCCTATGTAAGACTCTCGGACTACAAGCTGCATCAGGTGGCTGAAAGGTGAATAAACCATATATTCTGCCGTTTTGAGAACATCCTCCATTCTCTTCCTCAGGGCTGCTGGGCAACCAGTCCATTCCTTTGATGCACGCTAGCTGATGGGAACTGGGAGTTCCAGTCAGGTAGCGTGCAATAAAGGAATGGAGATTGTTCTTGAAATGTGGGCAGAAGATATGGTTTATTCACATTTCAGCCACCTGACATGGCTTGTAGCCTGAGAGTCTTTCATCAACTTCAGTCGCCACAAAGGTTTTGCCTTATTCATTTAATTTGATGTTTCAGATTGGGCAATGAAAAGTACAAGAGTAAGGTTACATACAAGAGTTTGAATCCCAGCTGGCTGGAACAGTTTGATTTGCACCTTTATGATGATCAGTCTCAAGAATTGGAAGTAACAATTTGGGACAAAGACAGATCCAAAGATGATTTTATGGGCAGGTAAATTGAAGCGCTGTGTTATTGTAAATGTTTTACATAAATGCTTCTCCTTCTTCTGTCAGTCCCTTCATGACCATTTCACTCTTCCTGACTCATCGCATTTTAGTTTTTCCTTCGACGCTTCTCAGACGGTGTAAACAAAACAAACTTGTCACCAGGAGTTGCATAGCTCCTGGCGCTTTAACCCCGGGTACCCACTTCGTTTCCCGGCGGTGCCCGGATTTATAACTTGTGTTGGGCGAGGCCGTGGTCTAGGCAACACGGAGTTTTCCTCCGTGGCATCCCACCAATTACTCCATTCACACACAGAAGAAGGCAATGGCAAACCACTTCTGGATCATCTGCCAAGAACGTATATGAACAGGTCCCAGTCCGAGAAAAGGATGGAAGGATCCCGTTCATATGGACCTGTCGTCAGACAGAACACAAATAATAAATAATAATACTCAAAACAGCCCTCCAGTGGACATCGAGAACCAAGTTTTCGGGTTCTGAAGCCAGGAGATTCTTGGCCTGCCAGATCCCCTCTTTCCGAATACTTTCCCCTGGATTATCAGCAGAAGCAGCCCGTATCTATCACTATTTCTCATGATATGACCGAAATATTCCAACTTTCTCTTTTTTATGGCGTTATCAACCTCGACGTCTTTGCACACACATGAATTAACATATAGGAAACAGAAAGTCACATAAATCCACTAGTGTTTGTGCAGTAAGATTAAGTGACTCTTAAAGTAGGCTCAGAAGAATGAGGAATAAATAGTACATAACATATTCAACTTGATTGATTCAATTATTTTCTTTAATTAATTTGCAGATGCACTATTGATTTATCTTGTCTGGAACGAGAGAAAACTCATAGAATATGGCAAGACCTAGAAGAAGGAGCAGGCTCCATCTTTCTGTTGCTTACCATCAGTGGAACTACGGCATCAGAGACAATATCTGATCTGACCACTTATGAGGAAAACCCTCGTGAACGTGAAACATTACAGAACCGCTATGTAAGTTTGTACTTATATTAAGCACTTAGTAACATCTAAGAAAAAGGAAATATTTGTGGTACAAATATTAATTTTCTGTTCTGTAATATTAATAATACTTATGATTACATTTAGTTTAAGTTAGTAGAAGTTTTGGAGTTAAAGAAACCACAAAGATGGTAAAAATTTGAATAAAGTTTCATAAACGGTAACTCACAAATGTGTTATCATGTGTAAACATCACACCTGGAAAGAGATATCATGTGTGAAGCTTAATTTGTGTTTGTAGAGTTTGTATGGTTACCATCTGAAATGGAGATCACAGATTTCAAGCCTTTTGTTGCCCTCGGTGGACTAGTGGTTAGCATGCCAGCCACTGGACCCAAGGTTCGTGGGTTCAATTCCGGCCAAGTTCGATGGATTTTTAAGGGTGATAAAAATCTGTAGCACAACTTCCTTCAGAGGGTGGTCACATGTCGTAGATTTACAGCATATAAAAAAGAACCTTATGAGCATGAATGAGATGTTTCGTAAGCAAAAATTTAGCTGCCATTTCTCACCAAAGTCTCCTGATTTACTGCTAGATGGCTCTGGCACTCAAATCAGGATTGAGTAGAAATTGTGCAGAGGCAGAGGGCTGGTCACTCACTACTCATAAATGCACACTTCAAAAGACCAAGAATCCTCCTAAGTGGGGAGGTCATGGTCCAAAAACAGGCCAAAGCTCCATAGATGATGATTTCAAGCCTTTAGAATAAGACTTATCTGCAGCCCAGTTTTGGAAGTTTGTGTTGTGAACAAAGTCATGTGAGTCTGATAACTTACTTGGCATCTCTCTGAAATAAAAGTGGTCCAGAGAGACGGCGAAGATTATGTCCAGCAAATCAAATAATCTGACTCATAATCTAATGGAAGTATCAAAAAAGAAACATGTCTGCAAATTGTAGTTGCTTATTTAACTCCTTTACTGTTAGTGAAAATATATTTGTCGGTATGCCGTGCATTAGCCAATAGTCACCTTATAGTGAGCATTTATCCACCTGTACAATATTTCATTCCACACACATTCCATTGCAGCATTCTTATATTTGTCATAGATTTACGGAATGTAAAAGAACCTTGCGAGCATGAATGAGATGTTTCATAAGCCATTTCTCACCCAAGTGTCTCCTGATTCACCACTAGATGGCTCTAGCGGACAAATCAGGATTGAGTAGAAATTGTGCAGAGACAGTGGGCTTGTCACTCACTACTCATAAATGCACATTTCAAAGACAAATAAACCTCCCACGTGTTAGGAGGCCAAGGCTCGGCTTCGGGCTGTTGCGCCATAGAATCAGTCGTTATTATATTTGTAATTAAAAGGTATGAGACCTTATCTACCCTCTGTTATGAACAGCCTGAATTACATGGATATATTGTTCAACAGCTAAGAAAGAATGTTGTTGCAACACACAGTATCCTGTTCACTCTGTAACACACAATGTGCTCGTCCATGCAGCAGAACTGTTACATCCACAACAGTGAAAGGATTGATATCATAAATTATGGATTTATAATAGTACATCATCATTAGATTTACTGTTATCAGCTCATAGGTCATTCCTTATGTACTCCTCTTTACCCATTCTTCTTCTAAGGTTCTCCGGTCCGTATTCGGTCCATGGCCTCCTCAATTCTCCTCTTCCATTCGGTCCCATCCTCCGCTCGGATGATAGGTCCGTCTGTCAGTGGCTTTGATTGAGGTTTCGAAACATCTTCCTTTTTACGGTGCAAGGTTGTTAGCCTTGCGACCAACCCCCAACCTGGAGGACCAGGGTACCTGTCTTAGTCTGACCTCTCCCCCTCGACCAATCTGGCTAGGGAGTCCCTACAAGTAGCAATGCTACCGCCAGCATAGCTCTTTGGATCACTGAGGTACTCAAGCCCCACCACCACGACAAGGTGCAGATACCATTAAGTGGGGCCTCTTTACCCATCAAAGCCTGTAATTTCTTTATTGTCTCAGTAAAAGTTCTTCTAATCAGAATTAAGTTCAGTCATCTCATTGAGATTCTTCATCTGTTATGGGCTATGCTGTCTGGCCAATTATGATTCAGAATTAATTGTGAAAAAGTAAATTCTTTATACTTTTAGTATAACTTAGTACATGTGAACCTCTTCCTGCACAGGAGAGAACAACACAGAAGGATATGGGCATATACTTATGTCCCATATGAGTTTGAGACTCACAATCAAATCCCATGGTAGCCTAAAGCGGCCCATCCACGTATGAGTCTGGCTTGCAAGTCCGGCTCGACTTGGGTTCCATTGAGCCAAACTCGTTTGTGGGTGGGGTGTCACGAGCCGAGTCTGCTATGCATGTGGTGAAATATATCTGAGCCCGGCTCACGAGTCAAGCTCACCGAGCCAGACTCACAAGTCAGACTCGTACGTGGATGGGCCGCTTAAGACTATGTGTGCCATCTAGAGTGTGCTAACTGTGGTTCGCTATTGTTTTCCTTGTGCTTAGTAGATGTAGGCCTCATTTAAATTGTTAATTATACTTGCAGTACGTATCTTACATTGAACTCGTTGTTTGCTTGTATGTTATATTTTCTGTACACTTCATTTATTTGTTTTTACATATCTGCTTGCTTTCAGGCTGTGATGGGAATCCAATGATCAGGGAAATTGTACATTCACTTCCTCATTTCGTTGAGGTCAATAGTCAGTTGCTTTTGTTAAAGTACATTATTTATGGTATTTTTGTTACCACTTGTTCTGTTTCAGTTGCTTGATAAACGTTTTATTTGCTTGGAACACATGATTATTGTTTATATGTTGGAAGTCTTGTCTTTTCTATTAACTCCTACGTTTATTGTTATAGAATTTATTACGAACTTAACGCTCATAAATAATAAGGTTCTACTGTATTTATCAGTTATTACATGAGTCATTATGTACAAAGTACAGTTATGACCTATTTTTTTGTTATTTTTATAGGCTCTTATTGTTAGCTATAATTATTATAAAAATAGTAACAATTGTGTTAAAAATATCCATCCTCTGCTGTACATTTTTCCCAGCATTCATTCAGTTCTTCAGAACATTTCTGGAAATCATCGTGTGTGATCTGTTGCAGAAGTTGTTAAAACTGCCTAAACTTCTGCTGCATCCTTATGTGATGATCTTTCAGGGAAACTCCAGATCATTAATTGCTGTTGTGATGTGTTTACCATTGATCCTCTATGATTATTACATTCTCTCTATGTCAATATAATTAATTTATTTATTTATTTATTACATTTAGTTGGCAGATACATTGTGTCTTGCAGATTTGCTTACTTGAATATGAATGAAATTCTACCATTGTCCGGAGTTGTGTCTAACACAATATGAACATCACTGCTTCTGCGCCTGTTCTTGCGTTCGTTTTGACCTGCAGTATTTTGGACCTTCTGCTATAGGGGTTGTCTTCCAACAATTCATAGTTATCCTTGAACTTTTTATGTGTGGACATATATGAGTAGACTCCAGAATACCTGCCATTCTGTTGCTGTATTTATTTCTGTCCAGAAAAGTTTTTAAGTCTGCTACTTATTATTCCCATAATTTTAGCTATTTCTTAAGGTTAGATGGGTTACAGATTGTACTCATGCATACAAATTTATATGAAGGAAGTCAGTGTAACTGTGTTGCAGTGTGTTAAAATTTTGCCTGAGTTACTGGCTGTCCCTACTGAGATTTTCATGTTTTTTTTTCTCAGTTTCTAAAAAAACCTTTGGCGATTCACCAATTGTTATAATTTTTCCTTCTCATTTGTTGTTATATAATGTCTGCTGTTGAAAGATTACTGATTATTCTTTTGATCTTAGTAAGAAGAAGTAAAAAGTCGACAAAAATTACATTTGACTTGAGACCTTCTAACTGAGCACCAAAGAATTAATATAAGAACCAATATTTGCTTAGTATGAATTCTGCATGTTGATAGTTGGGTATACTAAATCATTAGAGTAAATCTAGGAGTACAGTGAAAATTTTTGTAAGTTTTTCAAAATTTATGCTGGACATCACACTTAAGTGATTTATGAAAGACTGAATTAAAAAGTGACTGCAGTAGGTCTGTTATGTCCCTAGTAAGTTGTAATCAGGATTTTCAGTTTTGGTGTTGTGGTGATGCACTTTGGATGCCTACTGTTATGGACCTGTTTTTCAATTTCAGAGATCATATTGAACAACTTGAGAAAATTTGATGGCGGTGGCTTATGGCTTATTCTTCTGATGGGGAATCTGTATAACTAAATGTAAAATAAAATTGCCAAATTCTACTAAATTGTAATACTGCATTTCCTTGATTTTAAGATACACTGTTTTCACATTTTAACATTTTTGAAATCGGGGTACATCTTACAGTTGATGGTGTCTGAGCATGAATATAGCTTCTTTTTCCTGAAAACCTATTACTAAATCATGGGTTCATCTTAAAACGATATAAATATATTATTAATTAAATGCAAGTGTCAGGGGCTTCAGCATCAGTGACGTCATCGCTACTAAGCATTTTTAAATCTTATTGGCAACACATGCAGACATGTATGTATTGCAGTATTGTCATCACACCATTTTTATGAATATTGATGGGGTATTTATGAATGATAAGTAGCAAAACACTTCCTGTAAATGAACAGAAATATGTTACACGCTTATTTACCTGACTTGCTGAATGTTATTTTTTGCGTACTGTTTAAATGTCTTCCTCGTAAAGAGAGCTAGGGTATTTGTGAAGTGCTGTCTCACATTCTTTTTCTCCAGTGCCCCGTCTTCACCTTGTCACTCCCGACACATACAGACTACCTCCTCAACTGAGACACTTCTTTCTTCATAATGACATGGTTACAACTGAATCATGTTCTGTGAATGACTCATGATGTCATCTACATACAGTGTGTCTGGACTGGAGGTATCAATAAATAAATATTTTTAAGGAACAGGTAACAGATAATGCACAAACTCGCCAAGTTATTAAGAAGATGGCTGTCTTCTGGGATGTTGCATCGAGTTACTATTTCCAACATGAAAGATTGTCTACATCATGTCTGCATGTGTACAGGAAAGCTTAGTTAACAGAAAACAAGGCCTTGTGACTAGTTGAGTGGGAGAAACAATTCAGTGCATCGTGTGGACACCACAGAAAAAGTGTGGTGGATGTTGTTAGTAAAACTTAAGTCTCTGACTTATGTGCAGTGTTATATTTGACATGGAATGCACCTATGTATAGATCAATTATACATTTGAACAGAACACAGATATGTGAGAACTCTGGTACCACAGACTGGAATATCTGTGAAGCAGAAGATGATCATACACATGCAAACTGCACTCACCAGGAGGCTTCATTAATTAATAATAATAATTTGGGTGTTAAAACATGAATGGAACATGCCAAAAATTAATGTTTGATGTGGGCTGATGAATCATTGATGACTTTTTCATCCGTGAGGCGACAGTAACTAGAAACATGTATCTGGACATGATTGAGAATTTTGTTTTATATCAAAACCCCACAAATTGTTTTAACATCAAGGTACCTCCCATGTCACCGCAGTAAAGTGCTTACTTTTTTGAACCTTGTGTCTTGATTAGTGGTTCAGAAGAGAAAGGCCCTTGCCTGGCCGTTCAGGTCACTGGACCTCACCCTAATAAACTTGTTTTTGTGGAACACTGTGCACCAAGTCATCCTTCGTGGTCTAGTAGTAACGTGTTTGTAGACTCAAACCTGGCCAAGGTCGATTGATTTTTAAGGGTAATAAAAATCCATAGCACAACTTCTTTCAGAGGGGTAGTAAAGCCAGCAGTCCCATGTTGTAGATTTACGGCATGTGAAAGAATGTTACGAGATGTAAGCAAAATTCATCTGACATTTCTCACCCACGTCTCTGGTAGAGGCCTTGCGATGGGCTGTTTACTCGTTCAAGGAAGTTCCTACCAAATGTCTAAAAATAGATCAGAAAACCTCTGAAAGGAGGCCCCTGTGCTCCACGTAGGAGGAAAAAGGGTGTAAGAAGAAGATTGTGTGCCAAGAGAGAGTGCAAAATTAGCAGGAACTGAGGGAATGTATAATTTCAGTAGCACAGGTCAGCCCTAACATTCTAGAAAACACTTGGCTGATTTCCAGACATTCATTTGCACATCCAATGAACAGCAAAGGGTGTGCATGTTGACTTGAACAGAAATGTAAACCTTAAGAGTTACATATATGTTGTACACTAATAAACCTGTTAATCTCTCAGAATTATTTATTATTTCTTGATACCTCTAGCCTTGAAGTGTGTCAGCATATCTATACTATGATAATATTTGAGTTAGTGTTGGCCCAAGTAGCGTGATTGCTGAGCCATACTGACATTTGAACAGTACCTTAGGTGTAATAATGAATATCCCTCCCTTTGTAAATGGCTTTCTGTAGATGATTTCCATGTTTATTGTTCTAGGACTGTGTAACCCTTTGTAGTAGATTAATGTTACATGTATGCACCTTCATTAGGGATATAAACCTACAAGAAGATAAGTTGATGGAGATTCCATATTGTAGTATCCTGTAATCGTGCTGTGTTCATGTTGCCACAATAGCAGTAATATGTACACACTTACCATGTGTAGGCATTCCTTCGTACTCTCCAAAACCTCCGGGATGTTGGTCACCTGACTGTGAAGGTGTTCCGGGCGCAAGGGCTAGCAGCAGCCGATCTGGGGGGCAAGTCAGATCCGTTCTGTGTATTGGAACTGGTGAATGCCCGCCTTCAGACACAAACAGAATACAAGACCCTAACACCATCATGGCAGAAGATATTCACATTGTATGTTTGTTATTACACTTGATTCATGTTGTGCTTTATCTGCACCAAGATCTCTGTTTTACAATGCTGCATGGTATCACTAAACTTTGTATGTATGTGTTTGTTCTCCAATATTTAGTTGCGTAAGCTACATTAATTTTAAACATTTTTTTTTTTGGTCCCTGTGCATCAGTTTTGAATGATGCTACTTCTTGTCTACTATATTGATGTAATATAAATATAATTATATATTTCATAATTATATGTACAACTTAGAGTGGAACATACCTTTTTCACTTTCATTAATGTGTTAATTAGTATATAAATATTTTCATAAAACATCCTTGAAGTAAAGAGATTGGTGAATAAAATATTTTTATTTTCTTCATAATGTTTTATCATTCCTGGCTGTCCATAACATAAGAAAAGTCAGTCAGTGCTTTATGGCTGAAACTTGAAGAGATCAATATCCAATAGTAATGTATTTTCGTAACAGACAATATTATCATGACTTGATGGAATATGATTATTTTAATTATTTGATGGACATTATGGTAATTCTGTTCAGAAAGTTTGTTACTTTTATGTTTAATGCTATGAAATATATACAGTCCTTTCAGGTCTGAAACAGTTAGTGGCCCAACAGTAGCCATTTCTCACTAAACGTTTCTTTCTAAGTTTGGGTTTTAGTAAAGCCTGACAGAAACTTCTCAAGATTTTGAGAAAAAGATTTCTGTAGAATAAAAAGCAATACCACTTGTTTCTTTATAAAGCTGTTTGAAAGTGTGGTTGACAAAATTCTGAATGAGTTTTGTATGATTACATAACACATATATCTGTTTGCAACAGAATTAGTGTTCTAAGAACAGAAACATTTTAAATATGAATAAATCAGAAAATAAGCTACATTTATGTGCCGAGTCTAACAAAAATTAGTTATTGTATAATCTAAATTATGGATAACTGAGTTTTTGGGCTTTGTTTACCATCTGGTATTTTAAAAACATGTTTCGAAGACCAGATCTGTCTTCATCCTCTATTGTAAGGAATGTGGGAACCTGAGGATGAAGACAAATAATGTCATCAAAACGTGTGAGTTCTTAGAACACCAGATGATGGACAAAGTCCAAAAACTCAGTAATCCAGAAATCTTTACAATAAATTTACATTGTGTATGTAACTGGCAAATAATTAAGCATAGACTATACATTTGTGATTTATGTACATTTACAGATAATTCATATCCCATTTCTCTGAAATATTTTACTTGTGGATTAGGTCATATAGCAAGTCACACTACTTCAGGATTTTACAGTACTAAAAATTTTTAATAGCTTTAGGAAATACATATATATATATATATATATATATA